CTGGGGCCTCTGGGGCACCCTCCCCCCCTTGGTGGCACTTGCTGCGGAAGGGGTGACCTGTGCGAGCAGCCTTAGCAACGGGCATCAAGCTGGGGTTGTTCCCCGGGGTGGCAGCTGGAGGGGAGGGATGGGGATGGGCCCAGGCCCTGGCAGGTGATGCCTCCGTGTAGGGCGTCCTTGGGTGAATCCTGAGGATGGACCCTTCCAGGCAGCGAGGAAAGGGAATGGTCAGTCCCAGCAGAATGGGGCAGCGCTGGAGGGGGGGAAAAAGAGTCCTTGGGCGTGCAGCTGGGGGTCCTGGAGCCTGAGGCACAGCAGGTGAAGCGGAGGCTGGGGCTGGTGGGGGTTTGGAGGAGGGCAGGCCTGGGTAAGGTCATCCATTCCTGTCCCATCGCGGGAAGTACGCCTCCAGGTTCGGAGGGGTTCCTGGTTTGTATGTGTGTGTCCTGGGGAGCGTCTGCTGCAAGCTGCTGTGCTGCATTAATGCAAAACCTTGGGGGCGGGTTTTTTTTTGGTTTTTTTTTTTCAGTAGCACCTCGGTTCTGTGTTGCTGTGGACCTGCTCTGTTAGGTTGTGGTTCTTGCTCTTTACTCCTTGTCCTTTTCCTCATATCAGTGTGGTTCTCTGTCCCCTGTTTGTTAATCCAGTGGCTGTCCCACCCTCCAAAGGCTGTCTTGCTGTGCCCATCCTCTCTCTTCGTAGTGTGATCCTGCCAGGTGCATCTGCTGCCAGCACATGAAGTCATGTATATTTTGTTGTTGTTATTTGGTTTCTGTTTTTAATACCAATGAGGGCATCGGGATGAAGAATTTAGGTATGTCAGAGTGGCCGCCTGCCATAGGCAGTGGGATCTGCTTAAATGCATTAAACCTTGCAGGAATTAATTCATGCCTTATCAGCACTGTCCAAGAACCCCTGGACAGTACAAAGGCTGTACCTAGAAAATGTATACCAAAGCATTCTTACTTCTTAGTTCAGCACGGGATGATCCCATTGTCCCAATAACTTAACGTTGTTTTTTTGGAGACAAGCTAATAAAATGACATTCGTTCTTTCCTTATACTCCTCTGCTGATGTAGAGTCCTCCTGGACGTTTGTGTATTCCATGAATGGTTTGTAAAACTTCACTGGTTAATTATTTTTCATAGGTTATGATCCTGGCAAAATGTTCCTATAGAAATGTACATAAATTTAAAATATAGGCTAGATCATCTTGTAAAGGAACCACTAAATTAGGCCTGATGGGGAAATAAATTTATTAAATTCACGACTGCTCCTTGGATTTTCTTGCCAGTGGATAAAACAGTGTTCAGATGCTTAGCTGAAATTTAAAGAAGCACTGAGCTTTGTATGGCTAAAGCTAAACTGGACAAGGAGGGAAGGTGTTAAGCCTAGACTTCTGTCTCAAGGCCCTTAGCTAGTTACAGGGTGAGAGGTGCATAAACCAAATTTTTATTCTCTTTTTGCACACTTTCTTATGTTTCCCCAATGCATCCATTCCAACCACTGTCAGAGAGCAAACTGGTGGACTGCTGGTGTGATTGAGATAGATATTGTACCAAAGGCACGGCGTGCAAGCTGTGCTGGAGAGAGAAGGGTCAGGTTCCTGGCTGAAAAACTTACTGCATCTGTGAAACTGTAACTGCAATCTTTTAACCAGCTGTGGTTCTCCAAGCGGTTCCTAATCTGGACTTCTTGTTCATAGTGCTTTGTGTTGCTCTACACAGCAGTGTAAGTAGTTACCGTTGTGGTAGTACGGTAACTTTGAGTATTTGTACACGTGAGTATAAAATCGGTCACCATTTTATGCAGCTGCTTTGCAGTTCATTTCTCTGCATATATTTCAGTGATGTGTTGCACATGCGCGGCTACTGAGCGTGTTCAAATGCGAGCATGCGACTGTGAGTGCAACTACTTGAGGACACATATGGACATCGGGTATTAGTATATAAACACACATATAAAACTTAGAATATCCCATACTGTATTTCTGTATAGCCATACATTGGTGACTGTATGATAGCCAAACATAAAACGTAATTACTTTTTGTAATCTTTTTCAAAAACAAGCCACTTCCCAGCTGAGGACAGTTCTTAAGTGTGTGCTTGCATCTGCCTGAGTTTAAGCATGGCATAGTAACCTGTCTTGTGAAGCTGCGTGTCCTAGAAGCAGAGCAGGAGCACGTGCGCCTCTCCTGGCATACTCCTTGAGTTGATAGTGCATTCACTCTGAAGCCTACTGACGATATTCCAGAGCGGAGCTCTTTGAGGAAATAAGCGGTAGACTTCAACTTTGTGTCGGTTGCATACGCAAAACTATTTGTGTTCTCAGAAATGCACAACAGTCAAGAGACAAGAAAGGCAATCCTAAAATTAAGCAGAACAGCTCTTCTCTGAGAGAAGCTGATTGTTGCAGTGCTTTGTTTTAGCTGTGCTCTGCCTTCGTCTTGAACAGGAGCAGAGCTGAATGGAAGCAAAAGCCCAGCCGTTGCCCAGGTCAGATGGGGCATTCAGTCCCTTGTGCGTTGGTATCTTGCTCTTGCACTGCTGTGGGCCGACTCAGTGGTAGATTAGCCTTGGGAACGTGTTGTGATTGGTGCAAGCATCCAGAGGGCTTGTCTTCCTGGAAGTGGAGTGGCTTTTGCTGGTGAATGGGGACTGGGAGGAGTGCTGGGATTAACACAGAAGCTGCACAGAAGTAGTTGTGCAATGCTGGCATGGCTGTTGGGGTCGTTCTCTTTTTATCGTTGCAACTGTTTGGGGTAAACAATGTCTCTGAATTGCTTCTTTGGCAAGAAGAGGATTGCAGTCACTTTCATGTTGTCTATAAATAGGAGATTGCTGAGCTCTGCAGTGGGAGCAGAATTTTGAAGCCTGTTTCACCCTGGCTGGTGGCCTGAGCTACCTTGATTAACACCTGATAGTCCATTTTAAATGGTAACCACTTCCATCTTAAAATAAAACTGCACAAGTGCAGCAGAACGCCTGGAAACAGACCAGTACTTCAGAATAACCGGATCTAGAACTTGGATGGAAAAGGTTTTGTTTGTGAAAACAACCTCCAACAGCTTTGGACCTGCTGAAAAATGTCAGCCAAGGTATTAAAGATGCTGACCTTCAGGAAGTTTTTATAGAAAGAGGCACCTGTGGAGAAGAGTGGGAAATTTGGCTTATACACTCAGTGAGGGGACTGTTGCATGGAGTTCAGGTCTTACGAGACTCCGGAGAATCCACACAGGATTTTGATGTACAACTGCTACCACAACAGGACCAATTTCTTGTAGCGCTGCACCCTAGTAAATGCAAAGGTGGTTTTAGTAAGTCACAAGGCTCTCCTCTCCTGTTGTGTGAGGTTAAAGCGTTGCATAGCGCGTTTCTTTGGTGAACCATCGTGGGCTTTTCTGCATCTCTGACCACGTTCTTTGGCTTTTAGACTACAGCTTGGCGATGGTTTGCTGTTTCTCACTGCTAATGGCAGGTGCTCAGTAGCCATCTTTGGGAGGGTCTTCCTTAGATCCGTTTATTAAGCTGTAGATCTGAAGCAAGCCATCTTTTGCTTTAGGGTTTCCACAAATGCTTTCATTTGTTGCAGGTCAAATCTCCTTTTGCTCACTATTGCAAAATATCTTGGTGGTAACTACAAGCCTTCCCCTGGGAGAAATGTTTGGGAAAATATTTGGTGTATTTTAATCTGATAATGCAGCCTTTGGAAACAAGAAGCTGGTTCCAGACATGTCCATCTGGTATCTTGGAGATGCTGGCCTGAGCATCTCCCAGTTCTGTGGTCTCTGAAATAATCCAGTATAAGTTTCTACACTTTCTGTTCTGTGTACAGCCTTGGAAACGCGCATTTATCCAGGAATAATTGGAGGACTTGATTAGTGGAAACTTAGCAATGGGAAGGGTGTCAAGCTCTACCAGACATCCTCATTTCCGCTGAATTGTGGATGTCCACACACAGTGCTTGCAGCTGCTTACTGGCACTGCCATGCTGAGAAAGAAAAATCAAGAACTTGGTCGTTGGTGTGAGCACTGGGGTTCTTCCCTACCTGGGTTTAAAGAGCCTTGTTTGGTTGGTTTGGTTTGGTTTTTTGAAACTTGTGTAGGCTGCGCGGAGCGTGTGACACAGCTTCTTGTAGAAAGGGGAGAAGGGAACCTGAGGCTTAGAAGAGCATATGGGGAGAGCAGGCCGGGGAGTAAATTACACTTGCAAAAGTATTAGTGCAGCTCATAATAAATGGAGAGGGCCTTTCCAAGTCCTTTAAATTCCAGTGCATGTGACCATGGAAACAGCACTATGTCACTGGGTGTTTGGTAAATCTTTCAAGCACTCTTTATAAACCTAATAAAACAGGCTTTCCAGCTGGTCAAGTAAGAGCTTTAAACCCAATTTCCATCCTTGCTTTTGAAGCAGGATTAAGTAGCCATTTTCTAACGGAACAAATTTTGCGTGTGAATTTCTGTGACTATTAACTCCTTAAAATACTTCTACTCGGTGAGCTGTTGCACTGAGATATATTTCCTTAAAGTAGACTTAATTGCACCGAAGTGGAATTTCCCAGGAAGCTTGAGCTCTTCAAAGCTTTCTTGGAAAAAGCTTTCTATTCTCTGTAAAGAAAACTTTAGTAGTTTTATTTTTCTGTAACTATCTTGAAGCTCTACTTACTGTTAATTTTACGTCCCTCTTGTATTCTGGCTTTAAAAGAGATGGCCAGCTTTCTTGCTTATGGTATTTGGAGTTTTTGCAGGCACTGTGAGCCAAGGGACTGATTTTTCCCATCAAGGGGCCATGGTGGTGTTAACAGCTCATGGGGGCAGAAGAGCTTAAGTGATGCATTTACCCGGCGTTAAGCCATCACTCTGGGATTTTGACTCTTTGTAGTTGTTTGCCAAACAAAACAGGATAAGGGCTGGTTATCATTAAATGAGATGGGTGTTGAAGCATGCTAAAAGGAGGTATTTTTTTTTCTTGATAATACTTTCTTATAAGCCTTGGATGTCTAATGTCAGATAGCGTATAGCAATATGAAAGTCTAAATTTTTGTCGTCTTTTTTTTTTTTTTTTTTTAAAGGAGCTTGCTATTACTTGAGAGACCTTTGAATCTTTCCAGGAAAGGTTTGAACTACAAAAGTTGGGAAATGCACCTTTGGTAGTGGGTTTGCTGTGGTAAAATTTCACTGTGGGGTTATCAAGGGTACTTGCACAAAACTGGGATAGAGCTTTAACATCAAATCACTTCCCACCGCACCCTGTTGTTTCAAGATACCTGCTGGTAGTGTCTCTGTCCTGGCACTGCACTCACAATGATTTACAGATCTACTGGGGAAAATGCTTTGTGAAAAATCAGCACCTTCTGGAGGAGGAGAGAACGTTGCTGTGCTAGTACTGCTGTTAGAGAGCTGCGCGGAGAAATGCCGTTGGGGCAGGATCCTCTGCATGTCTCCTCCCTTTCTGATGCAGTATGCTATCTTCAATGACAATTTAATCTAGCTGCAATGCCTGCTGCGCAAAGTGTGCATCTTACAGATTCTGTGGCCAGGTGAGTATTTGTTTACATGGAAAGAGTTGGCTGTTTCCAAACAGCAGGCTATGACCACACTGTTTCTGTCCTCTTACAAAGATCTCTAACTTTCTGATCAGCTGAGGAAACATACTGTTCCCTCCATCCCTTTGATGTAATTACCAAACACTTACCCACTTGTGTACATATGCCGACCAGTGGTTGAAAGCCCTGATAGCTCTGGCAGGAGGGGTGGACATGGGGTGACTTGCAGGGTGGGTCTGAATTTCCAGCCTCCAGCAGAGCTCTGGTTTCACAAATCTGCAGAACGGCTGTGTCGGGTCAGCTGGCTGGAGCCCAGCACTAAATAGCTTGTTTGTGCTGGGCTGGATGTACTTTCCTGCAGGCTCGTCTGTCTCTTCTCTGGCTAATTGTGCTTCCTCATCCCACCTTGTGTTTGATGACACTTAGAGCTTCCTCTGGCTTTTGCTACGGACGTCCGCAGGAATGTTCCCA